CATCTTTAACAGCATCCATTGTGTCAATCAATGGTTCTGTGAACGTTCTGTTAGTATTTAGCAGGTTGTAAAATATCAAAACTTACTGTTCTCTTTTGGGTCTGAGTGTTCTCTGTAGTAAAAGTTCTCGGAGTCACCCTCTCCAGGACAAACTGGCCAACAGTAAGAAAAGGTTGGTGGTGCAAGGCGAGGTGGGCTGGAAAAAATTTCCCTAAATTTCTCTAATAGTACCAATGGTTCTAAGCTCTCCCTGGTGCAGAAATATGTTTGTCAGTGAAAAAACATGTAACATTTCATACGGTGTCTCACCATTTGTATCATCAGGTATGTTGTGAATGCTCATCTGTACCATAGGAATAAATAGATACCACTGTGTGGGGCAAGCAGCTAGTAACTTAGTTAATAATAATTTAACCTCAGCATTTTCCCAGACCACAACCCCACTTCTTTGGGGGTGGTTGGCGCACTGAAATTCCAAAGTAACCCAAATGTGGTTGCCCAGTTTTAGGTTTCCTTTGCAGTAACTGCAGGATCACCATCCAAATGGATGGTTCTGCGATTATCAAATGCTTACTAAGGAAGTGAGACTAGAAAACGTGGCAACAGAGGTTGCACTTCGCACAGGATATATCCAAGTAAACCTGGTACATGCATTAACACATACAAAAACATATTTATAACCATGAGATGTTGGCAAACTTCCAATATATAGTAATTCAAAAAGTACGTTAGATATTAATATTTCAATAAACAGTACATCAGTAATGTGGCAATAAGCAAACGCTTATGATTACTAAACACAAGAATTACAGTATTTCGCATATTAAACCACCAATATTCCTTTTCAGGAGTCAGAAGTACATTACCTCTCTCTATAAGAGCTTGTATTAGCCATGAAAAAGCTTTTGGGCAAGTCTATCTTTCCTCTATAGGAAGAACAACCAACATATTACCTTCAATGGTTATTATGTAATTAACCCCTCTAAACGATAGGAGTATTTATGTGGATACCAGGTGGATTATTTCTGGATATCCTTGCAAGCATAAACTCTGCATCATGACTGAGAGATAGGGTATGTTTAAAGCGTTGGTAGACACATTGCATCAAAGTGCCTGTTAATTACCAACTACATGAGGAGAGGGACCATGCTTTGTTATAAGCATGTCCATACACGTACTACAATGCCAGGCTTTCAATTTGTTACCACAAAGCAAAATGCAGTTGTGGATATAAACTCACGACGTATCGTAAGAAAAACTGTTTGAACACCAGACTGAGACTCGAGATCAGTGAACAGTGGACCAAAATAGATAAATGAAATCTTATCAATTGAAAGTATATTAATATACTTTCTTTAAATTACTTTATCCTCTGTATTAACTGTGAAATATTAAAGTTAAAACAATAACATTTAAAAGCCAACTTTTAGTGTGCATAGGAATTACAAGACTGTTCATAATGTGAGATAAAGAACCGCTTTTTAAAAAAACCGAATAGTCTGTGAACACAAAATGACCTTGCGCTGAAAATTCACTTGCAGGGGAAAAAAACAAAACCTTTTTTCTTTTTCTTTAGTAAGTTAATTTAATTAATTAAAATGTAGTTAGAACCTCCCTCAAAGTCCTGATGACTTTGCAAGAAACATGTCGTCCTTAAATACTGGGTAAGTCTATTAAACAGTGAAATAGCATTTTTACCCTGTATATCATGTTGTCACAGCTATAATGTGGAGTATAACAAACTATTTTATAAGTGTGGTGCAAACTGTTCATTAAAAGCCAGTGGTCTAGTGAGCTATAGAACATTTATTTATTTATTCTTTAAAGCTCTGACCTCAATCGGCAAAGCAATATTGTAATGGTGTCCATTGCAATCTGCTGTCTATACTTGCTGCTCTCAAAAATTCTGAATATGTTCAGAGATTTCTTGGGCAATAATAAATCCCCCAAAACAACAACTTTGCATTTATGCTAATCCTGCCTGTTGTAAACGTATTCTGTATATTTCTTGTCATAAGTACTTGTACTTAAATCTGTTTAACAAAGCTGTTTATATTGTGACTGTTTATATTGAGGTAAAATATACATATATATATATATATATATATATATATTTTTTTTTTTTTATTTATTATTAATTCATTTATTTTAACATTGCTTAATTGCTTTAAAGATACCTGCATATTTAATTAAATATCCTTTATATGTCTCTAAGGCATAAAATGTCTGCAAATTAAGATTATATACAAAAATGCATGTTCTGGGTGTTCCGTGATTCCTTTTCTATCATTTATTTATCTATTTATTTAAAAAAATATTAAGTCTGGAATCTGATTCCTTTTGGGATGAGCACCCCTCTGAGCCCCCTAGTTTCAGAGGCTTCTTTGGAGGTGACCACTGAAAAGTATAGATTCTATAAAATAAATGTGAGGGGCTTTGGACAATAATGTCACTTTAATTATACTTTGCATATCACATATCTGCTATATGAATGTGATTTAATATATCAGTATTATCACTTTAATTGACACTGCATTTTTAATGCATTCTTCTTTTTTTTTTAAGGTTTAATGTCTGTTTAGAATGTTGCAGGCTTTGCAATATCAAATTAATTTTGCATTATATATATTCACAATGCTCTTACAACATATTATTAAAATTAGCCTCTTTCAGAATTGTAGAATATGTGGTGGAACTTAATCCCCATATATGAGATTTGAAACTGTATTTTTATTTCTACTCTGTGCCCTAATCTGTATTTATATACATAATTGCGGCAGCATATAGCTTTTAAAGAAGCAATTATTTCACCCTTCATGTGTGGTTGACTGTGGACTTTTTAAAACCTACTTTTTATTTTTTTATAAATCTGTTTCTGACTCTGAGAGAACAGGCTGCTGAATGCATGTAAATGCTCTTATTGCCTAGTCTATATACTTTTATTTATAAACAACATTGATATATTTATATATACACAACATTGATATATATATTTTTTTATATTTTATGAAAACCTAGTTTATGAAATTCACTGAGATTACATGTGTCTGATCTGATTATAGGCAGTAGTACAATATTATTGTTCTAATTTTCCTTACTGCTAGCACTACAGGTACAGTGGGATAGTACCACTGATTAAGTGTTCTTGCATAGCAAGACCACTTAATGTTATCTCACATATATATTATTAAGTGTTCTTGCATAGCAAGACCACTTATTGTTATCTCACATATATATATATTATTATTAAGTGTTCTTGCATAGCAAGACCACTTATTGTTATCTCACATATATATTATTATTCTTATTATAGCCAAATTTGCCACCCTAACTCCTCCCACAGTTTTTACACTACATAGACAAAAATTTACCAAAACGTGCAGATTGTTCCCGATCGGATTGCTGTTACTTTGTGGAACGTTTCGCCGAATGGTTCACGGAATATCGTCGTTCTTGTGGCGCAATTTGTCCCATAGGAATGAATGGCAAAGCTATATCAGCCATTTCCAGTTAGACTATTGAGGGGCAGCATTGTTACTTTCTTAGAAATTAAGTTTAGTTAGCAGCCTTTGTGTATTAGCAAGACCACTTAATGTTATCTCACATATATATTATTATTATTATTCTTATTATAGCCAAATTTGCCACCCTAACTCCTCCCACAGTTTTTACACTACATAGACAAAAATTTACTAAAACGTACAGATTGTTCCCGATCGGATTGCTATTACTTTGTGGAACATTTCGCCGAATGGTTCACGGAATAGATTGTCAGGAACAATCTGTACGTTTTGGTAAATTTTTGTCTATGTAGTGTAAAAACTGTGGGAGGAGTTAGGGTGGCAAATTTGGCTATAATAAGAATAATAATATATATGTGAGATAACAATAAGTGGTCTTGCTATGCAAGAAAACTTAACTAGAAAAGCTACAATTTCTGGGGAAATTGTGTGAAGTGTTCTTGCCTCCACCAGTAGTCTACAACCGGAGTGGGCGGAGTAACTGTTATACATTATTTAGCACATTTAATTGCAACTTTGTTGCACAGTTACATTAAACCATACATTTATAAAAACATTAGCAGGTGTTCAAAAGGCCCTGTCTATGACATCACTTGCTGCTGCAGCCTGACACAGGTCAGAGTATTTTGGAGGTTGCCATCTTCAAACTGTCGTATTTTAAAAACAAATCCTACAGCGAAGAGCTTTATATTGTGAGAATCACAAGACCCAGACCTACATTTTGATGCATAGTATGTCTCTGAAGTATTAAAAATGAAGGCACAGTCGCAGTTTAGAAATTGCACTTCAAATTTGAGCTTTGTAGAGTGAAGTTTCAATGAATGTCAATGGACGGCGTTAGTTGCAAACAAATGATTATATTGTGAAAACTATCAGGACTATGGCTTAGCCGTTGACATGGTTAGTGGCAGCAGGGATAGCTGAACGTTTTGATATAAGATTTGTGTAGGTGGGCCCAGGGCCGGTGCAAGGATTTATGCCGCCCTAGGCAAAATAAAAATTGACGCCCCCCCCCACCTCCCTTTTGGTTCAAGACACTGACAAATTGCACAAAAGGCAACAATGTAAAATAAAGTGCAAATTTAAATAGTTTAATACATTAACATTCTGAAAGTGCAATACAACATACAGTTGTTAAGAGAAAAACACATGGCCACATTTATATTATAGTGGCATACTTGCATAATATAAGTGCAACAATACAAATGGTATGGTCAAAGAACCCCAAATACATAGCAAAATAAATACATAAATGCAGCATACAATTTAAGTGCTAAACAACTTTGTAAACAGCTTAAATACTTTCTAACAGTTATTCTATCTAATTAAATTTAACTTTTCTTGCTTTGGCATTCGCAAAGTCCTTCAGTAATGTTTCAAAGTCAATCTCCTGTGCCGTCCGATTTTCTATTGCTATCATGGCAAGTCCCACAAGCCGCTCTTGGGACATTGAAGAACGAAGATAATTTTTTATAATTTTCAGTTTCGAAAAGCTTCACTCACCTGTGGCAAGGTGATTGGTAAGGTCAACATAATTCGAAGTGCAATTGCCACATTTGGAGCAAATCCATTCCTCACTGCATAGGCCAAAATATCAACAGGTGTCATCGTAGGTTTTATAACAGGAGCCAATACAGCAAGTTCTTCACACAGTTGCCTTCCATCTACATCAGACTCCTTTGATTTTACATCGGTTAAGACATTCTGCAATTCCATGCAGAACTGCAGGAGGTCTTCTTTTTGCACATCTTTTAGCTTGTGGATGTCATACAAAAATTGAAAATGCGTGGAATGAAATTTAAGCTGTTCATATCTTTCATGTACAGATTTTATTGTTGTGTCTAATATTGTGAAGAAACATTCCACTTTAAATTTATTTTTAGGTTCTAAGATAGGGTCATCTGGAACCTCATACAAAAACAACCTTTTTTTTTTCCTCGTCTGATGTACTTGAGGGGGGAACACTGGGTCTATTTCCATTTCCACTGCTAGCTCTCCTGCTTCTTTAAGTAAATCCTCAAAACCATCATCTGTCCGATAAGATTGAAAAATTGTCTTGATTGATTCCAAAAGTTCCACAACATCTGGTAAGTAAATGGACTGGCTTTGAAGAACTTTGCTGACAGAATTAATTCGACTTAGTATGTTAAACCAAAGGATGATTAAACACAAGAATTTAAACTTGTTTAACTCTTTTGCCAAGGATGAAGCCTCAATTTTTGCAAGAGCAGCAAAATTCATATCACCTCCGATTTCAATTAAGGTGCCATACACTTCTCCAACATGGAACCTAAATGGCCGAATAGCATCAATTCTGCTTGACCATCTAGTATCGGATAACGGCTTAACTGTCAGCTTACTCACATGCTTTTTTAGAACATCCCATCGATTTGTTGAACCTGATAAAAAAACATATATTTTCTGAAGAATGCCAAAAAATGTACTGGCATCCCTACAGCACATAGCAGCATCATTTACTACAAGATTTAATGAATGAGCACTGCAGGGGACATAGAAAGCACGTGAGTTCAGGTCCATGATTCTTTTTTGCACTCCTGAGTGCTTTCCCTTCATGTTGGAGCCATTATCATACCCTTGACCTCTCATATCACTGAGTGGTATCTTCAGCATTTCAAGCTCATTCAAAATTGCCTCTGTTAATCCTTCTCCAGATGAGTTGTGAACTGGCAGGAAACCAAGAAATCTTTCCTCAATGTGTATTTCAGGATTTGCAATTGGCGAGTCTCCTTGCTTAACAGATACAAACCTGAAAACCATAGTCATCTGTTCAACAAGAGTGATGTCAGGGGTGCAGTCAAGTATAATGGAATAGTACTTGGCATCCTTAAGCAACCGTAGAATGCATCTCCGTATTTCTTTTGAAATTAAACCAATTAGTTCATTTTGGATGTCTTTTCCTAAATAATGTTGATGAATTTCTGAATTCTGTATCTTTTTCAAGTGGCTTTGCATCACACTATCAAATGTTGCCATCATTTCGACAAGTTTCAAGTAATTTCCATTATTTTCAGAGTACAGCGTGTCACTGCTGCCCCTGAAGGCCAAGCACTGCTTCCCAAGATATTGAACAATGGCTACAAGTCGCTGAAGAACATTCTGCCAGTGCTGCGTTTCAGTTGCCAATAATCTTTGGTATGAATGGTCAATAGTACTTCCAGACCCAAGCCTTGTTAACAGTTCTGTCCAGTTTCCCATAGCAGTGAGGTGAGATGGAGACACTTCATGTGTAGCCAGACACTGGGACAAATTTTTCCAATCATTGTAGCCTCCCGTAGTCAGGCTCATTTTCGTAGTTGTAAAGAGTTTACAACAAAAGCAAAATATTTTGTCCAGTCTAGGAGAATAACTAAGCCACTTTCTAACATGCACTTCACCATTTCCAAGGCGCCGTCTATAGTGGGTTGATGTAAACCGTCTCTTGGATGCATCTTTAGGAAATGCAAAGTGCTCTTTTGGCTTTGCTGGACCTTTCAGAACGATGGTTTCTTTTAGTGAGCTAGTAAGCATTTCAGGCCAGTCAGCTGGATCAAAGAGGTCTGCCAGCGTGCTTTTTGCATTTTCATCTTCTGATGATGATGATGATGATGATTTCGGTGAACTCTCTTCCTCGGTGTTTGTATCACTTTCTATGCCCAAAGAATGTTCGCCCACAGTAGTAGTTGAAGTAGAAGGGTGCGGTTCGACATCTACAGCTTCACGATTCTCTTTAGTCTCGCTTACAGCTTTCAATACTGGATCAGGTTTAAAGAACCTATTTAATGATCCAGCCATCTTAGAAGTGTCTTCTTCTTGGAGCCTTCTTTTCTTTCGAAAAGCAGCACCAGACAATTTCTTTCGTGGTGCAGACATCTTGTTCAATTATCAAAAAAACTATTGTAGAATAAATGTACATCAAAAATTATTAATATTCAATTAATATTCTCTTTGATCATTAAACCACAATAATACCTGAAAATCATTTAGAAACCTACTGTACATATGTGCGCACGTGTGGGAGTGTGAAAGACGCAAAAATATATGTGTATGTATGAGAGCAGTTGATGCAACAAAAACATGAAGAATTAAAAATGGAGAGGGCAAGTGAGAGCTAGCACCCCCCATGCACAGACACACAATCATACAGCGTCACAACATAATTACACAATTACACACAGTCACAAACATTCACCTACAGTCATACATGGTCAGTCACATTACAAAGTAATTCAATCTTCTATCTGGGTCCATGCAACAAAATGAAATGTGTAGTTACTGTGTGTACCCCCTCTGAACTATTGCTATCGCCCCTTGTTGGCACGCTACTGAAGTGACCATGTTTCATCCTCAAAATACAGATTAGGGAACAGTGCACAAAATAAATCCAGTTTTAAATTTTATGAAGCTACTTAAAATCACCACTACTAGCAAAAAAAAAAAAATTGGGATTCAGTTACACCATATGGCGATATCCATCACTATGTTACAGTTCCCCAATATCCCCATTCCCCCACCATTTGGCTACTGTGACATTCACTTTGATTCCCAAAAATTCACACTTTTAGAAATGAACCTAATAAAACATAGTTCAAATTGTACATTTCATTAAAGAGACATTTTTTATGAACCATTACCACTACATAGCATAGTGGTCTGACATGACATCACCCCCCATGTAAGTAGTCAAACCGTATTAGAGCAGTTTGACTTCTTAACTTACATGGCCCTACCTTCACTACATCAGCCAAAAGCCAGAAGATCTCTGCATTACGCAAGAGTGGGCACGGTTGATGAAGTGGAGGTGGAGAGCAGCTTAAAGGAACACTATATCGTCAGGAACACTATACACCTGTATCCTGTTACATTAGAGCACCCTCTCCCCCCCAACCTCTGTGTGTGGTCATAAAGCGATATTACGTTTTTCCCCCACACAGATCATTAACCTTTGCATTGGGAAGCTATTGTGCCTGTGCAGCAAAACACTGCACCAAAAAGCATCTCCTCATACAGATGCAATGAATCAATGCATCTATATGGGAACGTTAAAGGGACTCTCCAGTGCCAGGAAAACATATTAGTTTTCCTGGCACTGCAGGACCCTGTAGTAACCCTCTCCCTCCCACCCCAAGTTGCTGACCGGAGTCCAGCGCCGAGGGGCAGACTCTGCCTACTCTTCTCCCTCGCCAACGTCAGCCAGTGGGGGAGACCTAATGCGCATGAACGGCAATGGCCACGCACGTGCATTAGACCTCCCCATAGGGATTTCGGCGATGCTGGAGTCGTAAAACACACTTTTCGTGTTATAAGAACATGGAAGTCCCTCTAGCGGCTGTCTAATACTAGAGGAGGACTTAACCCTGCAAGGTAACTATTGCAGTTTATGAAAACTGCAATTACACTTGCAGGGTCAAGGGTAGTGGGAGTTGGCACAAGTGGTCTGGGTGCCTGGAGTGTCCCTTTAAGCTCCTCCACGCAGGGCGTGGAGACGCTTAAAGGGACACTATAGTCACCCCGTCTACTTCATCTCAATGATTACATTTGCGGTTAAATCTTCCGGACAGCCTTAATAGAGGCGCATCTGCAACGCTGTAGGCATTTAATGCCTCCATCGCGCAGAGCGTCCATAGGAAAGCATTCCTATGGACAATTTGAATGCGCGTGCGGCACTTGAGGGGGAGGGGAGGCGCTGGAATAAGGTAAGCTGCTGAAGGGGTTTTAACCCCTTTCAGCGCCACGGGAGGGGGACCCTGAGGGTGGGGGCACCCTCAGGGCACTATAGTGTCAGGAAAATCACTTTGTTTTCCTGACACTATAGTGATCCTTTAACACCAGTACTGCAAACCGTATCTTTACTCTGAAAAGATAGTGTTTACCTTTTAACCCCTTAAGGACCAAACTTCTGGAATAAAAGGGAATCATGACATGTCACACATGTCATGTGTCCTTAAGGGGTTAAAAGCCTGCAGCGACAGGCTATAGACACCAGAACCACTACATTAAACTGTAGTGGTTCTGGAACTATAGTGTCCTTTTAATGTGAAGTAAAAATAGTTATGTAATAAATATTACAAAAGAATAAAAATATTGGATTTTCTACTTACCACAGAGAAGGATGATCTCTGGCTGCAGTCTGGCTCCTGGTCAAATACAGGCTCTGGAGGCTGGGGAAGCAAGAACCAACTACAGGAGGACTTCAAGTGGGCACTTTAAAATCCCCCCTCAAGCGTGCTCAATGGAGGATCATGGAGGTCGGTAGAGGCTCTGCTGACTGCAGTGCTGTGTGACCTGTCCTGACCCCGAGAGACCACCCACCTTCACTGTTGCATGATGGGTGGTCTCATGGGGTGGGCCGTGGCCCGTGGGCGGTCTCACATGGGCGGTCGCGTCTCTCTGGACTGTGCTGTGCGGCTGTGCCGTCTGAGGCTTTCTGTAGCGCTCAGGCGGCACAGCATGAGGAGGAGTGCCGCACCGGCCGCCCGCCCTCGCTCCCTCCCTCGCATCTGCCCGCCCTCGCTCCCTCCCTCCCTCCCTCGCATCTGCCCGCCCTCGCTCCCTCCCTCCCTCGCATCTGCCCGCCCTCGCTCCCTCCCTCCCTCGCATCTGCCCGCCCATGATTTGCCGGCGCATCCACCGGCGCCCGTCTGAGCCTGAGGTCTGACTCTTACTTGAGTTGGAGGCAGTAGCAGGGCCGGCGCCCCCTGCTAAGTTGCGCCCTAGGCGGCCGCCTAGGTCGCCTTACAGGTAGCGCCGGCCCTGGGTGGGCCTGAAAATAAGGGAGTGGTGGCAGTTTAGAAATCATGTCCTGATTTTTCAGCTTTTGCCAGCTCCCACTCTAGGTTTGCCATTCATTCCTATGGGACAAATTTAGCCACAAGAACGACGATATTCCGTGAACCATTCGGCGAAACGTTCCACAAAGTAATAGCAATCCGATCGGGAACAATCTGCACGTTTTGGTTAAATTTTGTCTATGTAGTGTAAAAACTGTGGGAGGAGTTAGGGTGGCAAATTTGGCTATAATAAGAATAATAATAATAATATATATGTGAGATAACAATAAGTGGTCTTGCTATGCAAGAACACTTAATAATATATATGTGAAATAACATATATATTATCTCACATATATATTAAGTGTTCTTGCATAGCAAGACCACTTATTGTTATCTCACACATATATATATATATATATTATTATTATTATTAATATATATGTGAGATAACATTATCTCACATATATTAATAATAATAATATATATATGTGAGATAATAAGTGGTCTTGCTATGCAAGAACACTTATTATTATTATTATTATTATTATTAAGTGTTCTTGCATAGCAAGACCACTTATTGTTATCTCACATATATATTATTATTCTTATTAAGTGTTCTTGCAAGAACACTTATTGTTATCTCACATATATATTCTTATTCTTATTATAGCCAAATTTGCCACCCTAACTCCTCCCACAGTTTTTACACTACATAGACAAAAATTTACCAAAACGTGCAGATTGTTCCCGATCGGATTGCTATTACTTTGTGGAACGTTTCGCCGAATGGTTCACAGAATATCGTCGTTCTTGTGGTGAAATTTTTCCCATAGGAATGGCAAAGCTAGAGTGGGAGCTGGCAAAAGTGGAAGCTGAAAAATCAGGACATGATTTCTAAACTGCCACCACTCCTTTATTTTCAGGCCCACCTACACAAATCTTATATCAAAACGTTCAGCTATCCCTGCTGCCACTAAACATGTCAACGGCTAAGCCATAGTCCTGATAGTTTTCACAATAAAATCATTTGTTTGCAACTAACGCCGTCCATTGACATTCATTGAAACTTCACTCTACAAAGCTCAACTTTGAAGTGCAATTTCTAAACTGCGACTGTGCCTTCATTTTTAATACTTCAGAGACATACCAGACTACTGGTGGAGGCAAGAACACTTCACACAATTTCCCCAGAAATTGTAGCTTTTCTAGTTTAAGTAAGCTTTCCCTTTTAAAATTGGTGGACTTTACTGCCATTGCAATAGACTAAAGACTGTACCTGAGTAAGCAAAGTCATTATGTGCAGGAATTGTGCACTTTAAATAGTAGAATACTTATGCTATTCTAGTGAATTGGGCTGGCTGCTTAACACCTCATTTCGTATCTTTTGGTCACATTTAAAGCTGTAAATGTATTTAACATTTTATTTAAATAAGCCTTTAATAATTTCAGTTTAAAAGTTATTAGAGATCCTATTTATTTACAATTTTATTTAGCCCTGATTTATCTTACATATATATTATTTTTAGTCATTTTATTAATATTTATTTTTGCAGAGCATTTAGAGAAGCAAATGATGTATAACCACCTGTTGCCCTTTTTTCTAGGAGGGTAGTACAATTTCAACTCTGTTAAGGAAACAATATGAGCTAGTTTTCATATATTATATAAAATATATGCTGCAGTGTACTGCATTGTACTGCACTGAATGTATTTAAAAGCCATGTCTTTCTCTTTATGGCTGTATGTAATAATGTTGTTCATAATTTGGAATATAAAACAACGACTTCTCAATTCCTTGGAATGTTTACATGACTCTGTATCTCCGCAACCTTGGCTGGAAACTCCAGACTCCAAAAATAGTTATGCTGTTATAATTCCTGATTTTATAACAAGACACGGAGGCTCATATTGCATATCCCTTTCTTTACTGTCCACCAATAGCAGCAAAGAATACAAACAGAATGAAAAAATAATGAACATGCAGTAACTTAGGCCCCTCCCCGCTCAGGTCCCAGTATAACAGGCAGCACTTCCCTTCCATTTCCCTCTTTCTTTGCTGCTCCGACACAAAGATAAGTACATGTCATTTTTTTTCATTGATATTTTCTGTCAGTCTGCTTACCACTTAAACCTGGTAGCATTCTATAGTTTTTTCCTACCATATTTATCTTACATTTATTTGTATTTATTGTATTTATGTATTTATTTATTTATTCATTTTACTTATATTTATTTCATTTTCATTTTGTATTACAATTATTTAGTACTCATTGTACCTCTATGTCTTTATCTGTTTTTTCTGTTAGTCTCAGGGCCCAGACCTCCCCTGTCATTGTAGTCTTGTCTCCTGTCTGTCTTTTGCCCTGGCGCCATTTTGCGCATGTTCTCTCCCCGGCCGTGTATGCGCGCAAATTGAGCCTATTTGGCTGATTCGCCACACACACATCTCATTCCCCATTCGGCGAACAGAGCGTTCGCATGTTTGCCGCATTCAAATTTTTTATGCGAACGGTACATTCGCCTACTCTTTATTCCCTTATACTTACCTATCTGATTCCCGAATTCACCTTATTTTACCGAACGTTCGGTAATTTTTGCCGCTAATCTCGCGGGTGCCGCGAATCCCGCGAGATTACCGGCGGCCATTTTCAGACTTCCTGTCTCCTACATCTTAGTGTGTCACTGGTCTGGGCCCTGGTGTGAGCGCTTTTAGCTTTGTCTAGCTGTTTGGGTGACTAACCCATACCTTTTCTCTTACCTATTATTCCCTGCTAATTTTCTCAGCATGCCTAAACCCAGACTATCCGCTGGATCCACTCCCTCTGGGGAGTCTGATACCCCACTCATTAGGAGTGAGGCTCCTGTCACCTCAGACAACTCGCCTACTATGGCTGATGGAACTACCCACTCTGATGGGGCACAGTTTCTAGCGCTGCAGCGCTCAGTGACAGACGCCATTATGGCGGCCATGGGGTCTATGTCCTCCACCCTCTCCCACACCATTTCACAGGCCCTCTTGCAAAGTCCTTCAGACGAGCAACTTTCGGACCTCTCGACGCCTTTACCGCGTCCCTCTGTGAAACCCCAGGGAGAGGTGTTTAAAAAGGCTACCCGTAAGTCCAAGCACCCCTCTGCCTCCAGAAACACCATGACTGGCATACCTTCGGTCGCCCCAGAAAGCGTGTCCCATCCACGCAAAAGAGCCTTTCCGCGCCAGGCAGAACGGGCACGGCTATGGAAATGTGCCAGAGCACAGATAGAGAGCGACACCGACTCAGAAATTGGGTCAAATGAGGAGGCTAAGAGCGAGTCGGATACTGACTCTGATGCGGATGCCGCTGATGCTGGTCTTGACCTCCTTTCCTCTGCTCAGGCAGAGATGCCCGGAGGCGAGATAGGGATCAGGAACCCCGTGTGTGGTGCCTAACAAAGTTTGTGACACTCCGGAGGTAGACCCCAAGGTAACCCAGTTCCTCACTAAAATGGGCTGGAATCCCCGTAAAGGACTGGAGTCGGCACTGAAATCCTGCCAGGACAAACACCTGGACATATTCGGACCCTTGGCCAAATTATTTGACTTGGCGGAAGACGCCAGAGCGGAGAACCGCATGGTTGACCCCGAAGACCTTAGAGGTTGGGTCCAGAGAGCAATATGCATTGCTGGGAGTGTAAATACCTCCCTATCTATAGAAAGGCGTAAGGCCATATTATTCAAAATTGAGCCCAAACTGGCCAACCTCGCCCTTACGGAAACGGGTAAAGACGCCCAAGGACTTCTCTTCGGAGATTCCTTCATAAAAGATTTAGGGCACTTTGTTGGAGCATTCACGGCTCTAGACAAGGCCCAAGCCTTCATGAGGCGAGTATTCCAGGGGCGGGTCTCTACCAGGGCCGACAGATTCAGGAGCCGTCTGTCCTGCCGCAGTTACCCCCAATCCCGTGGCACGGGAAGAGGCTCCTTCCAGCACCGTAACCAGTACCAGGATGCCACCTCCCGCCCCACATTTTTTCCATCCCGCGGACGTCCATGGCGATCCAGAGGCTTTCGGGGTAACCCAAGCTCAAGACGACCATACGGTGAGTTACCTCATACCACACATTTCTTCTCCGGGTTACGTAGGGGGCAGACTCCAACATTTTTTCGCAGCCTGGTCACAAATCACTTCAGACCCCTGGGTACTGACCACTATTCAGGGTTTCAGTATAGAACTCACCACTCATCTCATACACATTCCCCCTCCTCGACCGATCTGCTTTTCCCTCCAGGACCGCAGACGGATCGACGAGGAACTCTCAACCCTCCTTATCAAAGGGGCTATAGAACAAGCACCCCTCAACCCCGCAGGTATCATAAGCAATATCTTCCTGGTGGAAAAGAAGGGCGGCCAATCGAGACCCGTCATAAATTTGCGCCCCCTCAATGCCATAGTCAGGTACCGCCATTTCAAGATGGAAGGTATTCACCTACTAAGAGATCTCCTCCTCCACGGAGACTGGCTAGCGAAGCTAGACCTAAAAGACGCGTACCTGACAGTGCCGATAGCGGCGGCATCTCGAGACCTCCTACGCTTTTACTGGCAGCACGAGACATGGCGATTCACCTGCCTACCCTTTGGCCTCTCCTCAGCACCGTGGTGCTTCACGAAGCTATTACGGCCTGTGATGGCCTGGCTACGCAGTCGAGGAGTTCGACTAATCGTCTACCTAGACAATATTCTCCTCATGGCTCAGGAGCGTTCCACCCTCCTCACACATCTACGGCTGGCCATAAACCTCCTTTCACGCTTAGGTTTCATAATCAACTGGGAGAAGTCATGCCTGACCCCCGCCACTCGCATGGAATTCTTAGGATTCCTGGTGGATTCGGGGGCAGCAACGCTGAGCCTCCCGATATATCCAAAATTCGATCCATCCGCAAAGAGTTACGCAGGGCCCTCATCCGGCCCCAGCTCACCTTATGCCAACTTGCACGACTCATAGGCCTGCTGGCCTCCTCGATACAGGCCGTGTTCCCAGGTCCACTCCACTACCGAGCGCTACAGCGCCTAAAGATCGCTCACCTAAGATCCGGGGCATCCTACACGGATCTGGTATCATTGGACAGCAAGACGAAAGACGAGTTGCGATGGTGGATTCTCAACCTGTCCGCATGGAATGGCAAAGCCATCTTCGGCTCAATGCCAGAATTCACGATCGACTCAGATGCGAGTCTTCACGGCTGGGGAGCCCACTGCGAGGGAGTCTCAACAGGGGGCCGTTGGTTGGAATCCGAATCCCGACTGCACATCAACGCCCTGGAACTCCTGGTAGGCTCCTTCGCCATTCGCAGCTTCGCCAGGGACCAAGCCCTATCATGTATTCGGCTCCGCATGGACAATGTTTCGGCGGTGAGATATGTCAACCACCTGGGTGGTACACAGTCGGCAGTCCTGGCCAGACTGGCGAAAGACTTTTGGGAATTCTGCCTGGAACGGAACCTGGTGGTCTACGCGGAATACCTACCTGGTCTGCACAATGTCCAGGCGGACTGGGGTTCACGTTATCTCTCAGACACCAGCGACTGGAGATTGGCCAAGGAGGTGTTCT